ACCTTCAAAGGTTGTTTTCTTAAATTACTCTTACTTGTAAACATCTTCCTAATACAAGTCTGTTTAAGAATCTGACTTCGTTATTTCTTGTCAGATTTCTTAAATCAAGTGCACAAAGGTATGTTTTCATTGGCAGCATATTTTCTGGTAGGTATTTAATTTTAGCATTTTTCGTAATTTATATTTAGTCACTTTTCTTTCTGACTTGAATAATGTGGTCTTTTGTCTTTAGCCCTGTTGAGGAGGACAAAGATACAAAGATAATCTCAAAGGATGAGAAAGGTATGTTTCTTTTAAAAAAGTACAGCTTTAATGATTGCTTGGAGAAACTCTTTTTGTATTGGATGGGGTATTTCAGCAGAACAGCGTTGGAATCTGTGCAGTTGTTAAATGTCATCAATTATTCACCTCCTCTAGATTAATTTTTTTTTTTTTTTTCAGTCTATTTATGCCCAAAAAACCCAAACATTTTCCTTTTATGCATTTTCTAAGGATATCTGTGTCGCACTGTTTTGTTTGTATCTTGGTCATCAAAGGTAGACATTAATACGTGGCAAATATGTCCTTCATGGCACTGAGGACGCTCACTAAGAGCTGTTAGTGAGTTAAGAGCCTTTCACAATTGTTTGCTTTACTCTACACTTGTGATGCTTCATCCTGTCTTCTGTTTTGCTGAAACAATTTGGAATCTAGTGCTCCCATACTTAAATACCACAGAAATTTACAACTTCACGTTGTCTTAAAATTAGATTGATGTTATTAAATCTTTGTCCATGCAGATCCTGTTTATGGTGCAAATATGCATCATAAGCATGATGAAAATTTCTTGATCAACAGTGTCAGGTGCCTGCTCCTTCTTTTCATCTTACTTCTTCCTTTTAATACATCAGGCTGCTGAGTCTTTGCAGCTCACCCTACCTCTCTATTCTCTCCTACCTGACCAGGGCAGAAAATTTAGAACTGACTGTTAACGTTCTTACATGCTGCAGGTAGGTAGTTCTGCACTGTAAGCATGGAAGTTCCAGCAATTCCTATAATAGGCAAGAAACTCACGATGAGAGCTGTCTGCCAACTGGATAGGAAGAACTTGTTTGCCTTTAATTGAGTTTTACAACACAGACTGAACTCATTGTCACCTGCTTTATCCAAGATCTGGTTTTATACCTGTCTATGCAAGCTGCTGGACTTCACCATCCGCGCCATTAGGGTCTGTTTACCTCTTGGTTACGGACTAATCTTATGTTCTTTTATTTCAGAATTTCAGACCTATATGCAAGTCAGTGCTGACTCATACATTGCTATTTTCACACCTGTATAAAAGGATTTTATTTAGGAGGAGTTCTAGTTTCTAAGATGATTCTAGCTTTAAGTTAAGAGAAGATTTTATAGTCTCAGTCTATCTTTGTCTTGGAAGTGCAGTACCGTCCCAGGAGCACTTCTTTGAGTCTTATGGGAGGGCAAAAACTGGAGATGTTAAGACTGATCGAAGCTTATTCAAAAAGGACATTAACATATTTTAAATAATCTAAAAAATTGTCAGTGAAATAGAAGAAAGAAGAAAGTGCTAATTTTTCTTTCTCCAGGATGCTGGTGCCAGTGTAACTGCAGGTGGCTGTTTTAAAATTCTAGAGGAAGCATGTGGAGTAAAAGCATCAAAGCATACCCTCAGCTTCTTGAAACACCAAGACAATGTATCTCCAGTGTGTTTGCACACATGACACAGCTTTGTCCATGCAGTTCTGAAGACTAGAAGATGACAGGTGTAGACTTAGTCTCCTTTATACACAGAAGACCTCTAAGCTTATGTTTGAGAGAATGACAAAAATTATCAGGAAGTAAGAGATGGAAAACACTTGAATAAAATAGCATTTTAGAGAGGCTGTGGAAGAAATGTTTCCCCTCGATGTAAGCAGTTCTGAGAAATTCTGTGTATCACACACACACACACACACACACAAAAAAAAAAAGGCAGATACCTGGGTTGGAAGCAGGTAGCTGCGTTGAAACCTGCTTCACTCCATTTATGGGAGCCTTGGAACTGAACACTGCTAAGACTGATAAAAGGACAGTAAAGATATTTCAGAGGAGAATGGAAACAGAATCCCTGCATAACTGCTTCACTCTGAAATGCAAACGCTAAAACTTGAGAGTTCAGCTCAAACACTTTGTAATCACTAGACTTTGGGTTTTCAGACTTTACAAGTACATAAGCATTTATGAAATTATCTTTCTAGTTTAGATGCCGAATTGGACAGGTGTTTTGTAGTTCTTGCATAGTTAAAGAAAGCTAGGTCTTTTCTGGCACCTGTAACTGAAGTCACAGGCTTCATATCCCAGCTGTGGAATCTGTGTGGGCAGAAATAGGAGAGAAATTTTCTTGCTTTCTTTATGGTGAATGTCTTTCCTTGAGTGTTGTGGTTAATCTGCATCCCATCATCATCCCTTTGGAGTCGGAAGAGATAAGGAGGGCAAGACTGGGTACTCACATGGGTACTCACACAGTTCCTGCCACTTTAGCAGGTCTTCTGTGTTTTCCTGTAAGTGCAGAGTTACTGGGATCTATCCAGGCACATTCTGAAGAGCCACAGTTACTTCAGAGATGCCCTAGTCCAGTTTCTTCCTTGGAAGAATGACATAACATCCTTCTGTTGCATGTATCAAAGCTTGTAGTTCATCTTAAAGTTTTTGAACTTGTAATACTACTTGCCTTCAGGAATGTTAATCCTGGGGGGAGAATGTTATGCATTGCATTTGATTTGCTCTAAGATTTAAAAAAAAGAAAAGATTTGTAGAACTGCTCCTTTTTCATTCAGTAGTTGTTGAAATAATGAGGATTTGGGGTATGTTTTGGGTTTGTTTGTTTGTTTTCCTAATTAGGTCGCACTGCTAGCAGTTCTGGTAGAAACTTTTGGGTGAGTGGACTGGCTTCCACTACCAGAGCTACAGATTTGAAGAATCTGTTTAGCAAATATGGGAAGGTAAGAGTTTTTTCTGGTTTGGTTTGGTTTTTTTCACTTGAAACTGTCTTAATAAGACTTCTTAAGCTCCTGTCACTGAAAATACCAGTGAAAGAAATCAAATTATCAGCGTTTTTATGGGATATCGAGGAAAAAATTGCCAAAGTGCAAGCTGAATTACTGCTTTTTTATTCCGTCCTTACTTCCAAACAAATATAAAATTCTATTTACAGTCTTTTATTTGAAGCTGTCAGTGACTGTTTCCATATACTTCTGTCTCCTGTGTTGTAGTATGGTATCTTCACCAGTGGAAATTCACAGTCAACAGTGAATCTAACATTGTTTATCAGACTTCTTTAGGACTAAATAAAACATGCAGAAAATTTTGAAACATAATTATTGGGGAATATCTTAGGAATTGCCTTAGTACCTGAAGTTTTATTTTTGTTTAGAGTTGGCAGTTGCTTTGCAAAACACTTGTTTGGGTAGTTTTGAGGAGGTTTTTGTTTGGTTTGGTTTTGAGGGGGAAGTTCCTGCAGTTATTATTAATGCAAGTTAAATCTCCCAGTCAGTTGGGAAATTGAAAGAGCTAGTTTAGAAGAAGACTGATGTCAGAGAAATCAGTAACTATTTTTGTTAAACCTTTGAAGCCTGTTTAAAGATGACTGTCAGCAGATTGTTGTAAAGGAAAACTGAAAGTGCTAGCAATCTGCTATTGAATGCTTAACTAATGAAAATACTCTAGAACTTAAATGTGACTTTACAGTAGGTGCACAGATGGATTAAGTGTAGCACAGCATGGAGTTTGTCTGAAAGTCATGAGACTAGTAAAATGTTCCTTATAACCATAAAAATGCAATACTTTCCTTCCATTTATTTATTTATTCCAGGTTATCAGAATTTTATTTGGTAACCTGGAACACTGATCATAGAGATGTACCACAAAATTTTAAATGTAATTAAAAACTACATGACAGCCAACCTAATATTTGCCTCTACTTAGATGCCATGGTAACATTTAGTCATTTAAATAAATTTACTGTTATTTTCTTTGGAATATTGGCAGAGGCCAAGCTTCCTAGAAGTAGATATACATCTGCAATGAATAAGATGCTCAGAAGTATATCTTCTATTCAGCTGTACTTTAAAATATGACACCTCTGTGAAATATGATTGATTTCTGAAATACAAATTGAGCTGTATTGAATATATAAGCATCACTAAGCCCTGTTTATGAAAACAGGTGTTATATGTGGGCTTTTTCAAGTTACACTTTTCGGGGAGGCATCCTGTTTCTTAAACAAGATTGTGATCTGCCTCTTAGCAGTGACATGAAAACATGTTTTCAAGGGGAGATGGGACTTCGCAGTTGAGCTGGTATTAGCACATGGGTGGAAATTGGCTTACAAATTTTTATTAGCTTAGTCTTTCCTTCCCTTCCCTTTCTTCCCTTCCCTTTCTTCCCTTCCCTTTCTTCCCTTCCCTTTCTTCCCTTCCCTTTCTTCCCTTCCCTTTCTTCCCTTCCCTTTCTTCCCTTCCCTTTCTTCCCTTCCCTTTCTTCCCTTCCCTTTCTTCCCTTCCCTTTCTTCCCTTCCCTTTCTTCCCTTCCCTTTCTTCCCTTCCCTTTCTTCCCTTCCCTTTCTTCCCTTCCCTTTCTTCCCTTCCCTTTCTTCCCTTCCCCCCCCCTCTCCCCTCCCCTTCCCTTCCCTTCCCTTCCCTTCCCTTCCCTTCCCTTCCAACAGGATTCAGTCTTTGGCTCCCATGTATTCATTCAGCTTTTGCACTGTTGCATTGCCAACAGAAGCATGATTGCTTTTGTATTTGCTAATCTTTTAAAAATAGAAGTCTATTGAATGATGATGGACAGGAATAAAACAGAATACAAACAGAGCTTGTACTTCTTGCTGTTAAATGGCAGGTACTTGTTACAGTGAGTGTAATACCCCTTTATTTTGGAAAGGTGGTAGGTGCAAAAGTGGTTACCAACGCTCGCAGTCCTGGTGCTCGCTGTTACGGCTTTGTTACGATGTCTACAGCTGATGAAGCAACAAAGTGTATTACTCACCTCCACAAAACAGAGTTACATGGGAAAATAATTTCTGTAGAAAAAGTGAGTACTGATCCTCAAAGATACCCCATTACCATCAGATTGTACAAATGATTGAGACCACATTCTCAGCTGATGATGTGCAAAATAAATTTCAGGCAAAAAATGAACCTGCTGGAAAGAAGCCAAGTGAAAAAAAAGAGAATGAAGCAAAGAAAGAAACAGTCAGTGAGAGGTACTGTTCTGAAAATTCTCTCTCCAAAGGTGTTTTGCTGTTCTTCAGTCTATGTTGATTTGTCAGCAAAAACAAAGTTACAATAAGATGTTCTGTGGCAAACATTCAAAAAGAGCAACACATGCGTTATTTTCCAACTTCTACTACCGGATAAACTTCTGTTGATGTTCAGTGCCTAACTTAACATGTTTTTGTTATGTGCTTTAAGGTAGGCATTGGAAAGTTGCACTTTCAAGCATACCTTTTGATTTAGCTATATTTGGTTTCTAGTAAAGATTGTGGTGCTTTCATATCATAAATCTATAGGAAAGACTGTTTGAGAATTTGGATCAGTATGTCACTGCTTCTTCATTAAATCTTTCTCTCGTTGGAATAGAGCTTTCTCAAGTGGTTGTGGTCACAAATGATTAAAGATCAGTTGTCCAAGATCCTGTTTCCAGAACATGTTCCTCTTCAGCACTATGCTTTTTCTCTCTAGCATTACTGAAAGTAGCTGAAAAAGACCCATAAGAGAGTGAATAAGAAACTTAAGTCTTTTGCTTTAATTATTTTCTTGAGGCTAACTCATGTTAAATGCTATTTGCTGAGAAGTTTTTGCCTTTATTTTACCTAGTTGCCCAACACCAATGGTTCACATTGTCACTTCATAATTGTCATGTTGTATAAGAAACTTTGTCAGCATTAAGCATGTGGTGTGAATTTTTCCTTTTGCCTCCAATTGAGATATCAGAATCATGGCCACGTTTTTATGACAACTGCACAGCATGTTCTGATCATCTTATTTTATGGGGTGGGAAGTCATAGAAATCTAATTTTGATTGTTTTATCACATACATTAGAATTCTACTTTGTTACTGTGTTGCTAGGATTCTCCTTTAATTTTCTTTTCTCTTACCCTGTATTCATCTCATCTATGTCAATATCTCTCTATAGAACTGGCAGTGTTAAAAGGGATGAGAAATCTGACCAGAAAGATGATCCTAAAAAGACAGAAGACAAAGATGAAAAGGAAAAAAAAGATAAAGATGAAATGAAGTCTGGTTCATCAGATCAACATAAAACTATTAAGTCAGGTAATTTGGTTATTCTCATTTTCATAGAGTAAAATGATATGGCAAAGTATGAATAATTAATTGTAGGTAGTTTTTTCCAAAGAAGTGCCAATATTCTAGAATTATTCCCGGTTCTTGGTTGGAAATCCAGAAGATATGAATGGGGTGGGATGGGGGAAGGTGTTTGGTATTGTGTCATCCTTAACAGAAGCACTTGGAATAGGTGTAAACGAAAAAAAATATTTTTGAAGACAGGGTTACGTGTCCATTTTCACATTTTAGAGAACATAACTTCTGGCATAGCAATAAGTCGGGTGGGTTATGTAGTTTGATTATTTTTTCCATCTCTTTCCCCTCAACCTCCGATTTATTTAGGAAATAAAGGAACAGAGCGAACAGTGGTAATGGATAAATCCAAAGGAGAACCTGTTATTAGTGTGAAAACATCAACTGCATCAAAAGACAGAGTAAGTGATGTTTCTGCATGGGAAACATTATGTGTCAGTTTTAGAAACAAGTCCTGAATCCTGCCATGCTGATGTAATCCACGCTTGTCTTAACGATTTGTCCAATTGGAGTTTCCATCATGTGGATTTTGATCTTAATTTGTAAAGTACCTTTCACATGGCTGATACCACATTCAGCAATGAAATCATGCCAGATATGTAAGTAATTACTGTGTTAATATATGGTGTGTCTGGAGTGTTAAAAAAGAACAGCTTTTTGAAAAATGAGGTGATGAAGCTTTGAGACATGATATGTATGAATGGAAACAGAGCTTAGAGTATTGTTTGTGATAGTTGTCCTTTTCTAAATGTACCCCATTAAGTTTCTCTACTTCAATATTAAATACAGAGCATTAAGAGCCAGGATCGCAAATCAGAGAGCAGAGAGAGACAAGGCATTGTGCCATTTGACAAAATTAAAGCACAGCGAAAAATGAGGGAGGCAGAGCAGCGCCGGTAAGAGCAACAGTGACATTGTTTGTTTTTTCTAGAATGAGCATATTTTTCTTTTGATTAAAATGACTAAGGGATCGAGGTGCTTGATTTGTTTTTTACTTGTAATTTGTTACATATTTGTGGGCCACAAAGCTATTGAATTGGGAAAGCTCCAATTTTTGACTGTCTTAATACTAAGCTTGAAATTGTGTTTGGGGGGGGGGGAATTAGCAGTTTAGTTTTTGTTCTTCTTTCCATTTTGTAGACTTTGTGGTTTAGACTAATTTAAGTATTCTGCTCTCCTTAGCTGAGCACGCATTGTAATAGAGGTGCAATGATAATTCTAAACTTGCCACACTCAAATATACAGGGAAAGACTGAGCAAAAAGTTGTCTTTCTTGTCATAGCATTCAAAGTTTCCATAGTGTTTGAAATAAAACAAGATGAATATTTCTGGATTTAAAGCCATTGTGTCCACAGAGAAATTGGGGGATTTTTCCATCAAGGTTTCCACATTGTATCTTTTTAGTTAAGAACCTAATTCAGGTCTTTAATTAATTTTTGGTGGGGTTTTATTTCCGTTTTCATTATGTTTAATACAAGATAAAGGTAGTAATGTCCATCCTTCAAATTCCTTACTAAAACCATGACCTGAATTCCACGTTAAAACATTTTCACACATTACAAAAGTTTATCACCTACCTAAGTTCAGTGGGCAAGGGGGGAAATTATTTCATCATTCTACTGGAGAGGAAGAGGTTTCTCTCTCATAGGCAAATCTCTGAGCCTTAGGGGAGTCATGTTATCCCGCATACTGTTCTCGCTTCTTCAGGGCTGGATATTTTATTTTTGAGTGGAAGGAATGAGCTTTGGGCATTTGGATTCAAATTTTCCTGACCATATAGGATTATTTGCCCCCACAGGTGGGTTTTGTGGGAGTAATATGATCAGTCTCTAAATACAAGTAATTCGTGTGTGCACTGTCTTCTCTGTATGCCCTCCCTCCCACCCCCAAGCATAATTTCAAGGAGCTGACCCAAGTTTGCAGTCATTGTGGTTTTAATTTTTAGTACTACTTTTTTTTTTCTTTTCTTTTCTTTTTTAATTTCCTGTATTTGTTGAAGTATTGGATCTGTAACCTTTTGTTTCTGTTAAAATAGCACACGTGAGCGTCGGGAGAGACAGCAGCACCTGCAGACTATTCGGGAACGAGAAGAAAGAGAAAGGCTTGAGATTGCTCGTGAGAGACTGGAAATTGAAAGGCAGCGTCTTGAACGAGAACGGATGGAAAGAGAAAGACTGGAAAGAGAACGAATGCACATAGAACATGAAAGGAGGAGAGAACAAGATCGGATTCAGCGAGAAAGAGAAGAGCTGCGACGCCAGCATGAGCAGCTGCGCTATGAACAAGAACGTCGGTCTGCAATGAGAAGACCATATGACATAGATGGCAGGTAAAGACAGCAAATAGGAGTGATGCAAGTGGAAAACGTTGCCAGGTCCTGTCTCATCAGCCTGTGCTGTAAAAAGCTATCCATATGCTCTCAGCTTCCGTTATTCAGCAGTTGTTGATTGCATTGAAATGGTAACATTCAATAGCCCCAGTCAAACTATCCTCTCTGAGGTTTTTCAGCTCCCTTTTGAACTTAACCCTTCTCTTGGTCTGCATAGTTTGAAAGGAGGGATCAATATCAAAAGTCATTATCTTGACTAAAATGAGTGTGTTCTTTCCTTCAGGAGAGATGACCCGTACTGGCCAGAGGCCAAGCGAATGGCAATGAATGATAGGTACCATTCAGATTTCAGTCGCCAGGATCGCTTCCATGACTTTGATCACAGGGATCGTGGCCGTTATCAAGACCATTCGATAGACAGGTTGGTGTCTTACCTCCACTGTGTCGCCTGAAATCAAAGGACAAAAATGTATTTAATGTCACATTTTGCTGCCTTTACTGTGTGTTTGGTTTGCATTTTAATTTTTAAGTGTGGCTTAGTGGCTGGGGACTATTTCTTATATAACCGTGAAGAGATCTGTACTGTGCCATGAGTTAAACCTTCTGGCAGGCTCGTTCAGAGCGTTCTGCTGGCAGTGCTGTTTCACACATTTGTACAATTCTGGAAAATTTCTGAATACCATTGTAGGCACCTAGCATCTTAACAAGAATATTCTGGCTTATACCTTAGGACTAACTGGGTTTTCCAGGAATCAAAAATGTGTCATGGTTGCCCTGTGTTTGTGCCTCTTGTAGATAACGTTGGCACTACACAGAAGCAGAATTTTTCATCTGTTTTGTTACGTAGATGAATTTTATAGACTGCTGTATATTTTACTACCACAGTCTGATTTTAATTCTCTGTTTGTAGGAGAGATGGATCAAGGACAATGATGGGAGATCGGGATGGACAAGTGAGTTGCTTTATAAAGCTTCAGAAACATCCTAACTTCTTCTAACCTGGTTTTCTATAGGGTGTATCAGATTAAATTTCAGTAGTTAAGAATTTAATTATATCTCCCAGAATTCATTCTATGAGGTTGCATGGAAATAACAACAAAACTAGTAGAGATGTTTGCATGTTTTTGAGGGCTGAGGAAAGACCTTCAGGGTACATTCAAGCTGTGAGAGATTTTGTGGAGTCATGGAATCCTCAAGTGCCCTTTACTGATGGCTAAGCTATGAGACTCAGGGGGACCTGAATAGGCTGGAGAATTGGGCAGAGGGAAATATCATTAAGCTCAACAACAGGAAATGCAAAGTCCTGCTCCTGGGGTGGAATAATCCTATGCAAGAGTACATGCTTGGGACCAACCAGATGAAAAGCACTTCTGCAGAGAAGGAGCTCGGAGTTCTGGTGGACAACAAGCTGCCCATGAGTCAGCATTGTACCCACCTGGCCAAGGAGGTTAATAGCATCCTGGGCTGCATTAGGAATAGCGTTGCCAGAAGATCAAGGGAGGAGATCCTTCCTCTTTACTCAGTACCCATCTGGTGTACTATGTCCACTGCTGGGCTCCCCAGTAAAAGAAAGATAAAAGCTTACTGGAGTAAGTCCAGCCCAGGGCCACAAAGATGATTAAGGGCTTGAAGCACCTTTTGTATGCGGAGAGGCTGAGAGCTGGCACTGTTCAGCCTGGAGAAGAGAAGGCTCAGGGGTTATCTTATCAATGTGAGTTCATACCTCACAGTAGTGCCTGCTGACAGGACAAGAGTCAGTGAGCACACATGAAATTCCATCTGAAGAAAAAACAAATCACCTTTTTAAAAACAAACAAACAAAAACCCCACCTGTGAAAGTGGCCAAACACTGGAACAGGTTCCACGGGGAAGTTTTGAAGTCTCCAGCTGTAAAGATACTCAAAACCCAATGGGAGACTGTTCTGGACAGCCTGCCCTGGCTGACCTCGCTTGAGCAGCAGGGTTGGACTAGATGATCTCAAGAGGTCGTTCCCATCCTAAATGATTCTGAAATTGAGTACTTGGAGCTGAGCGACTTTAAACAATTTGAGAGTGGTTGGGTAGTAAGTGTTGTTTGCCTTTTAGCATTATCCAGATGAGCGCCATGGAGGCCCAGACCGTCATTCACGGGACTCTCGGGAAAGTTGGGGTAGCTATGGATCTGACAGAAGAATGAGTGAAAGTAGAGGGATACCCCCACAGTCACGGTTAGTAGGCTTAACTGAAAATATTTTTTCTTGTGCATCTAAGGAATATTTCCATATGTGAAAGTGGAACGCAGTTTTTGAAAGTACAGTTCTTTTTTTTTTTCCAGCTTTCACCCCTGAGTCTATTTCCTGTTGGATGGACTACAAATGAGTAGCCCTTTCAGCTTGCCTTGTGCATACAAACATCCATCTTGGCATGTTTGGGGTGTTTTTTTTTAATAACTTCACATCTGAAAGTCATCATATTTTCAATTAATTTTACCTAACATTAATATCAGAGCTTGATGTTTTCAGGGTACTGGTTTTTCCCCAGTTTGTAGTTGTTGGAAGCACCATCCTGTCAGCCCTTTGAAAGGGAAACAAATTAAAATGTTTACAGATGGGGGATTTGTAGAGTGTGTTTTTAAGGTTTTGTGTTGTGGTTTTGTTTTTTAGTAAGTCCTATGAGTAAGCCAGCATACAGAAAACACCAAAAATAAATTGACTGCTTAAAACAACAAGCCAGGATGTTTGGAGTAAACTGAGACAACAATGTAGCATAAATCAGATTAAGAAAAATCTTATTTTCTTATTTGTCATGTTAGTTGGGTTGAACAGAAGGCTTATTACTGAGATTTGACTTAACAGATAGCAATATAAATACGAGATTCGCATGTACCTTGGTAAAGCATTTGAGTAAGTCTTAGTTGTTCTACTTGAATGTATTTTGTGTCCTCTGGCTAATATGAGAAGGTGTGAATTTCATATTTGCAGGGATGGACGTGACTGGGGAGATCATGGTCGGAAGTTTGAAGGACATCAAGATCGTTCATGGCAGAGCAGTGTGGATGGAGGAATGATGGGACGGGATCATGAGAGATGGCAAGGTATGATGCTTCTTGTACAACAGCTTATTAGTTGTGCTGTATAAAGCAGAAAATACAATCATTATTATCCTTGGAGATGAAGTAAAACTATTACTCTGGATATAAAGGAGGCATTTGAACTCTTTCAGGTGGAGGTAGAGGCCGACCTGGCCATGTGATACATCGTGGAGGCATGTCGGGGTAAGAACTTTAAAAAGAGCAAAGTGTTTGTTTCTCGTTTAAGGAACATCTCTTCTGTTTAAATTGGCCAAAGAAAAATGTTGTGGGAGCATCAGTTGTCTGATTTATTTAGATTGTCAAGGAATATTAAAATATTCCCATGGTTTTTATGTAGTGCATCTTACTGAAGAGTGAAAAAAAGTGGAAAAAGTTTTAAAAGAACACCCATTATCAACCTGACTGCCAGTCAGAACTAAAATGTCTGAATCACTTTCTAGGCGTGGAGGTTTCATGCAAGGTGGCAACCAAAGTCAGATGATGCATGGAGGAGGAATGCAAGAAGGATTTGCTGGCCAGGAGAGAGCAAACAGACCTAATGATCCTCGTTTCAACCGTCGCTACTGAATGTGTTTTAATTTTTAATGCAAGGTGGCAACTGAAATGAATCTGTTACCCAGGGTTACCATTAATTGTAACTTACGGGTTACTGTAAGTGGTTTTGGGGGGTTTTTTTTAAGCTGCTGCCATATTAAGTCACTCAATCCAATGTGAACTCATTAGTTTTGTAATGTGTTGTTCATATCCCATTTAAAATGTTTGTTAATGAAGCATTCCGTTTTCCATAAATAAAAGCCAGTTTACAGTTAATTGCTTCGTTTCAGCCGTCCCTGGAAAAGTAATTTATTCAGCTATATGTTAAACAATGTAACTTTCAGCCCTGACAAGATTAACTAGCATAAGTGCCAGCATGAGAGAATGTCAGTAGGTTGCATTTGTTCAAAAGCTTGAACCCCCTGCCACTGCAAAATTGCCCTAGAACCCTGCAGGACAAGTGGTGAAGAGGTGTTTTTTCATCTTGTCTCATGTTGGTAGGTGCTGTACAACATAATACCCGTCACTCTGAAAAAGACTGCATACCATGTTACCAGTACAGCTTCTAGAAGAGAAAATGCACAGGTACTTGTGAAAGGAATGACTTTCAAGTGCAAATCAGAATCATTTTTGTTTAGCTTCTGATACATCAGGATAGTCCAAAGATCCACCAGTTTCAGTCCAGTAATTTTACCCAGCAATCCATAATTTCCTTGAAGTAGATTAGAAACACCCACTGGCTGTCCTTTGTCATCGTTTTAAGAACGTGTTGAGAACTAACGTGATTGATTGATTGATTGGTGCAAATGATCTGTCATTTTGTCATATACAAATTACAATTTTTCTTTGTGCAGTCATCTCTGGAGCAACATGGCCTTAGTGAGTGTTGCCCACCAAAGATGGCTTTTGTGATGTCAAGAGGAGGAAAAAAATCCTGTTATTTTCAGTAGTAGGGTCACTGGGGTTGTTTTTTTTTCCATCTTGAGAGATTTATTTTTTTTCCCCCCTCAGTTGCCTGAAGATTTTTTTTAATTTATTTTTTTTTTTTAATTCATTTCCTACAGCCTGCATTGTAATGGAGAGTGAAACTCTTCTTTTTCATCAGGGTTGAGACTTCCCACACTGGAGGAGAATCCCTGTGGACAAACCCAACTAAATTCTGAAAAGCTGCTTTGATTGCAGCAGGGAGTTGCCTGAGGCTGGCTGGATCACACCGACATCAGCCTCGGTGTAAAACTTGGTTTTGTTTTAATAGTGAAGCAAAGGCCCAGAAAGACTTGAGTCCTTTGTTCAAGAACACAAACACAAAGAATTTCCAGACTGCTACACTTAGTAGCAACCAACTGTAATAATTCTGTGGGTCTGGCTAGAATCCTTGAATTAGTGCCTCCTTGATTTTAATCCTTTAGACGTTCACCTCTGCTACAGAGAAAGAAAATAAAGAGTGGTGATACCCCCAGACCTGCTCTGCCTTGTCTTTCCCAATTCAGCTCATTGACCATTAAGCACGAGGACAAGTTAATCACTCCCATGAGATAGAACTTATGTCTGGCCCTATTGCAGTATCTGACTTTCTCTGCAGGAAGACACTCTACCACCAGCAAACAATTTTCTCGCTGCTAATTCTGGTCATTCTCAATATGTCCCCGATACACGGTGGTTACATGTTCGTGACGGTCCCTGCCTGAGTGAAATTTACCCTATTTCTTGTGTTGATTTGACAGTGAGTTGTTAGTTTCAGCATCATCTGCACTTTTATTTAGAGTTTTGCATCACAGACTTACAAACTTCCTTCTATTGCACACTGTCATCAACAAGTACTGTGACTAGTACTGGCTCCTCCCAGTTGTGTGATAAGTCACATCAATAATATGCCCTTTGACAGAGGAACTCCTTCCTCAGCTAGCCTGAAGGGCTTTGTCTTCAAACAACATCTTTTACCATTACCTTGGATTTTTTTTTTTTTAAATCTTGTTGGCTTGTTTTCAGTTAGATGACATTCACCTTCAAGATTAATTCAGCTTCAGAATAATCTGTTTAGTTAGCAAGAACAGGGGCTATACCCCAGCACGCGGCCATCACGTCGCTACAGCTGATCCATGATCTCTACTGAAGCCTCTGCTCACTGGTAAGACAAAGCACTTATTGCAGTCTGTAAGCTAAAACCAACCCAAATACAAGTAGAATTTCCAGAGTCTTTTATTGTAGCCCTTGCATGGCTGAGCTGCCCTCTAGAGCAATGGAATACACGTTATCCCAAAAACAACACAGGACGGAGAGAATCATGAACCCTGGAGAACGTGTTCATTTTACAAGATCCTTCACATACTTCCAGCCTTCCACAGTGTAGTCACAGGCCCTGGTGGGAGCTACAGACAAGGCAGACATGACTGTCTGCACTCCTGCAAGGAAAGCAGAGAAGAATTATCCCAAGAAGAGCATCATGCAAGTACAATTTCCTAATGCTATTCTAGCATTATAGACCTATTGTAGAACACAGAGAGAAAAATCCAGCTCTATCTCTGAAGCTTTCAAACACACTGAGGCCCAAATATCCCTTGGTTGAAGTACAGCTTTATTGTCTCAGTAGAGTTTCTGACAGAGAAATTCCAACTTTAGGACCAGTATAAGGGATATTCTTTTATTAGTATTATTGTTGTTATTATTTCTCCTCTCCTTGTGTTGTCCTATTAAACTGTCCTTAACTCACCAGTTTTACCGTTCTCTGATTCTCCTCCCCATCTCGGCAGCAGGGGGAAGAGTGAGTGAGGCAGCTGTGTGGTACTTAGTTGCTGGCTGGGCTTAAACCATGACAAGACGTCACATTATTTGTGGACCCTGTTGCCCCATGATTACATGAAGACTTTTTGCTGCACCATAAAACTACAAATTAAGGTATTTATAACATGCTTTGGCCTTCACACAAGATCCCTACAATTTAATAATAGTGGGAATACTCATCCCGTCTGAAAAGTCAGAGGCTGAGTTCAGACATACTAACATCTGAAGAGTTTATAAACTCTTCAATCTTGAGCCAAAGGTTCACCTGTCTTAAGAATAAGTCATCATTTATTTTTGTGCTCTAGTTTCCCTGACCACTACCAGTGCTGATGAACTCACTGGTGCATAAACTCTACCTATATATTGTGGGAGTCACAAGCCTCCCCAAACACTTCGCTGAAACATTCAATCTTAGATTCAAGGATAGCAGAGGCATGCCTGTCTTGGGGCCCAGGTGGCAAGCTTTGTAGGTAAAACAAACACCAGCTCCTCTGGTTAGAAAAGGCAGACAGGTTTATGTCCACACATTCTCCTCCTTATTTCACAGTTGGAACAAGAAATTAAGTCCAAAGTCACTGAGTGTGCTAGTGGTAAAACCTGGAGTAGAATACACTTCCTTAGTCGCAGTCTCAATGCTCCTTCCATCAGACTGTCATGTCTATCACCTTCTTGTTCAATTTAGAAGGACAGTACTGAAACAAGGCTGGACAGCACTGAAACAAGACTGGTATAAGCTATGTCACTCTCGGCCCCTTGCTCCTTTCACAGTTTGGCAAGAAGTTATTTTACCTTTATTCCAGAAATCAGAGGGGGAAAAGTCAAATTTTGGAGTGGGCGGGAGCTAGAAAGAGAAAGAGAAAGAATCAGCACTTCAGGGGTTTCACTTATAACACGATTCACATCACCTTAGAGAAGCCTTTGGACCTCAGATCCTGAGGATACTCAGGTGCCTACTCTCTGTAAGTCTCAAAAGGGATCAGAAATGAGGCTTAAAGTCTGGACTTTGCTCTTTCCCCCAGTATAAAGTAGGGATAGAAGGTAGTACTTATCATTTGGGTGCTCCTGAAAAATCATCTCCATGGCTGTCTTACAGTTACCTATTAGTTCAGAGTAGTCTCTATCATGAAAAATGCTTTTCAAACTTTCAACAAAGTTTTCTCTGGTTCTGAGGATTTTAAAAACTAAGAATTACTCAAAGAGAAGGGCCTCTTCAGGTAATTTAAATTCAACTTGATGAACTGTTAGTAGCTTGAGAAATTGGGAGGAGAATCTTTTCATTAATTTTGTAAAAGCATGTATAACTCTTCAAAAGAAGCTTAGGAATACCACTACATAGTGAAATATCTCCCAGAGCATGCTGGCAATCCTTCCTCAACCCTGCACAGGCTAGTTACCCCTTCTCCTATGAAATAACAGCTGTGAGCAATGTCTCTCCCCTAAATTTAAAATTTTATACTCTTTCCATTTCAATCGTCTTCAAAATATTCTCAATGTGAAATACAGTTTCAACAGCAAAACTCCTGCTAGCATCACTGGAACCAGAACACCACCCCAATGTTTTCTCCTCCTCATTCAGAAAATACATTTGTTTTGCTGACTGTTCATCCACACAGTCCTTACCTCCCAGCCTATGTAACTCGTCCACTCTTGGATAGCTGGAGGCAGCGCTGCTTGAGCTTTTTTGAGGGCTTCAGCACCCTGTGTGCCACTGCCCAGCAACCCCTGATCATACACCACATATACAGCAGCTCCAGCCAGGCTTCCTTTGATGATGAACCTGAAAGAATCAAAAGCAGCAACATTTCAGTTCACATTATGACTATCAACGCATCTCTTCTGGTCGGTTGTGACTGTCAAAGGGAGGGCATCAATAAATAAATCTGAAGGTCACAAATACTCTACTGAAATGTCTTATGAGAGACAAAAAGCAGCAGAAAAATACCTAGCTACCTTCCTTTTCTTCCTAGGCCAACTATTCCCTGTCAGCCCCTTTAAACCATACCCATTCACATTTTACCAGTGAGAGTTTTCAGGAAAAAATGAGAAAGTATCAAAGCTCTCAGAGTATGTGCCACTTTGTAAAGTCTGAGAATCACTGGCACATACCTTTGAAAAAAGAAACTAAAGGATTCTGTAGTGGGTAGGACATCCATGTTAATAATGTCATTCTTGCTCTCTTGTTAATCAGTAAACTGATTAATTTCACAGACACCGATACCTTGTTAAGCTCATTACAGTCCAGTTAACACCTGGCCATACCTGTTCCTGCATTGCCCAGGCTTTTAAAGTTTCCCGGTAGACTACATGGTGTGCAAACACTAGTTTTACAGATATAGTGGCAACCTGCAAAACTGAAGACTAGAAGAGAACATTTGACCTTTATTTACTTTTTCATTACAGATAAGAGACCTGGGGAGACAGTTTTTCAAGTTCACAGGGCAGAGTCGTTTCTCCTTTAAAAAAAAAAAAAAAAAGCTATTGCACACCTAGGAAAA